CTCCTGGGTTCCATTGCCCTCTGAAACCACCACCCCCCATGGTTCCAGGGATGATCAGTGACTTCCTGGGGCCGGGCACCGTGGATGACCTGACCCGCCTGGTGCTGGTGAACGCGGTGTATTTCAAGGGGCTCTGGAAGCTGCCTTTCCCGGAGGCGGCCACGCGCCAGCGCATCTTCCACAAGTCGGACGGGAGCAGTGTGGTGGTGCCCATGATGGAGCAGACGGCCAAGTTCAACTATGGTGAGTGGCGCCCCCTGCTGGGGGCAGGGGAGATGGTGGTTGGTGGCTCTCCAACTCTGTCCCTCCGCTCCCCAAGGAAGGGGGAAGAATCACATACCCCCCCCCCCCCAGACCGGGGGCGGGCCTGCCCTGTTAACCCCGTCTCTCCCTGCTCCACCCAGGCGAGTTCCTCACCCCGGACCGAGTGGACTACGACGTGGTGGAGCTGCCGTACCACGGGGACACGCTCAGCATGCTCATCGCCGCCCCCTACCGCCGAGAGGTGCCCCTGGCCGCCCTGACCCGGGTCCTCGACGCCCAGCTGGTGGGCAAGTGGAAGACAAACATGACCCGAGTGCCCCGGCAGCTCGTGCTTCCCAAGTGAGAACCCGCGCCCCCTTGTCCTCAAGCCAGGACTCCTGGGTTCTCTACCCGGCGCTGGGAGGGGAGGGGGGTGAGAGCGGGAGGGGGGGGGGGCTGGGAGCCAGGACTCCTGGGTTCTCTCTCCGGTGCTGGGAGGGGAGCGGGGGCTGGGGGGTTAGAGCTGGGGGGCTGGGAGCCAGGACTCCTAGGTTCTATTTCTGCAGCAGGGCACTAGATGAAGCCCTGGTGCTGACGTCGTACTTCATGGGGTTTTCTGTGCCCACACCCCTGGGGCAGACAACGGGGGCTGCAGCTGTTTCTCCCCTCCCACTGAGCCCCTTCTTCGTCTCCCCCTCCCCCCCCACAGGTTCTCCCTGGAGAGTGAATCCGACCTGCGCCGGCCCCTGCAGCAGCTGGGCGTGAGGGACGTCTTTAACCCCAGCGCCGCGGACTTCACCAGCCTGTCAGGTGAGGGCCTCGCCCTGCATGGGGATGCCCCCGCTGCCCGCTCTGTCTCCTACCTGCCTGTGCCTTGTCTCTCGGCCGCTGGGCAGGGGAGACCCCAGGCTCACATCCATCTCTCTCTCTCTCTCAGCCGAGGAGTCGCTGTACGTGGCCCAGGCCCTGCAGAAGGTGAAGATCGAGGTGAATGAGAGCGGCACCAAAGCCTCCTCTGCAACAGGTGAGCGGTCGAAGGCTCCTGGGGGTGCACTGGGGGCTGGCCTGGGAGCTCCCTGTCCCGTGGCTTTGCCTGAACTGGCCAGCCAGGGGGTGCAGCAGGGCCCAGCCGGAGAACCACTCTAGTCTGCCATGACCCGTCCCATGGGGGCTCTGAGCGGTGTGGCCCCAGGTGGGTGTTGCTGACCTCTCGCAGTCCTGTTAGCGGGACAGCCCAGCCGACTCCTGGGGGTGACGTCCGGTTCCTTTCTTCCAGCTGCCATCGTCTACGCACGGATGTCCCCCCTGGAGATCATCATGGACCGGCCCTTCCTCTTCGTGGTGCGGCACAACCCCACAGGTGAGGGTCAGCCCGATGTCCCGAACAGCTAGACCTCGCTCCCCTCCCTGAGCCGGGGAGAGAACCCAGGAGTCCTGGCTCCCAGCCCCCCTGCTCCAACCCCCCTCCCCTCCCTCGAGCCGGGGAGAGAACCCAGGAGTCCTGGCTCCCAGCCCCCCCCCCGCTCTGACCCCACCAGCCCCCAGTCCCCTCCCAGAGCCGGGGAGAGAACCCAGCCCAGTTGAGGAATCACAGTGGGGGCTCAGCCATGGGGGCCCATCGACCCTGGCATCCTGCTGCCTGTCCCAGCTGTCAGAGGATGGGCCAGGGGCTCCGTGCTGTACAGCTTGGGGTGGACCTGCGCCCTCTGGCTTATGGGGAGGGAAGGAGAGAGCAGTGGGGCAGGCAGGGTTGGGAGGGGGCCAGCTGTGACCATCCTGACTCACCCCCTGTTCTCTGCCCCCCCAGGTGCCATCCTCTTCATGGGACAGGTGATGGAGCCCTGAGCACGGGGAACCCCCCGTGCTGGGAGCGGACTGGGAAGCGAGGCCATCTCACGGGGTGGGGGGCTCTGCCTCACCCCACCCCCTGCCTGAGGAGGAGGTGCCTGTCCTGTTCAGTTTGACTTTCTGGGTCTCCCACTCTCCCCCCTGGATTGCAGGGCAGCAGGCCCTTTGGGGGGCCCACTCTGCCCAGTAGTGGCACCATGTAGGATGGCAGTCACTGGGCTGTCTCCCACAGCTGGGAGTCCCAGGGGCTGGCATCTACCCCCCTTCCCCCCCAGTGATTCCGTTTCCCTGGTCCTACCGTGCCTGGGACCTGGGACTTGCATGGATTCTAATGAGTTTACACTGGAGGCTGCTACCTCACCCCCTCCTCTGGGGGTGTCAGGAGCCCTGTTCCCGGTCACGGGGCTGGGCATGAATGTATGGGAGAGTAATATATTGTAGAGGAGATAATATATTCCTAGCTTTGTTTGCATTTGAGGGGCCTGTGTGGGGTGGGTGGGCGAGGGGGGCACCCCAAAAGGGCCGGCCAGAGCGGTGCCACTCTAAGCTTTTGTTCACTGCCCCCAAGAGCTCGGCGTGAGCTACAGCCCCATTGCGGGCGGGTGGGGGGGCCCTCCTCTGGGCCTGCATTACTCCCCCACCCCGCAGGAAGCTGGGTGAAGCAATCGTCACGTGCGGCCTGCAGAGCTGCGTGTGCAGATAAGGGCCGGCGGTGAGTCACCCTCACCAGCCGCATGCAGCCCCCCAAAAAACTCAGCAGCTGTTTAAAAATAACTGAGGTGTTTGGCCTTGGACAGTCACGTTTTCCCACCCCTCACCACCAGCGGCTTCCTCGGCGGTGTGAAACGAACACGCAGGGTGGGGGTTTAAATACCCCTCGCATCCCACTCAGCAGTGCCTTAAAGGGACGTGCCGAGGGGTGACGTCCTTTTCCCTATACCCCCTGTGGGGCCTGGGGTGTGTAGGGACCCCCTCTCCCCTTTGCAGTGAGGCAGGATTTCTGTACTTTGGCAGTGAATTGCATGGGATGTGGGTGTGTATATGGATTTTTTTTTTTAATTGAATAGTTTTTATTCCACTTTTCCTATGTAAGAAAAGCAATAAAAATCTCTATGGAAACACGGTGTCTGCTTGGTACGACCCCAGCCTCGCTCACTGCCCGCCCCAGCTCTGTATCCCCAGCCCTGGCACCCTGCGTTCTCTGGATCCACGTGCCCATGCGCTGCCACCCATGCTGTGCTGTGAGCCCCGATCCCAGCCCACTGGCTGTGGGGAAAGGGCCTGGGGTGGGCGGCATGGCCTGTAGCGGGGTCTAATAAATGGGCTGTAGGGTCAACCCTGCCCCAGGGAGAGAGCAGCCCTGCCCCCTGGCTTTGGGGGCAGGGCTAGCTGCAAGGGGAACCCCCTCCTCCCAGCCCTGCTCCCGGTTGCACAGGCCCCCTGGCGCAGCAGTGGGGTCCGTACGGATTGCAGGGGCATGCCATCCACCCACTCCTTTCTCTATGGGGCAGACTCTCGGCCTTCTTACCTGCGGGCAGGGTGGCAGCCTCAGACTGGCAGGGGGCGGCTTCCCCCAGGGTGAGGGGCTCAGCGCGGCCTTCAGCACCCCCTTGGCTCTGGCCGGCGCACAGCCGGCAGCCTCTGCCACATGACTCCCTGCTGCCGGGAACTGCTGGGTGGGGTGCGGGGAGGAGATGCCCCAGAGGCAGAGGGGGCATAACCCCGGGTCCAGCTGTGCCCACTCAGCCATGCCCCCATCTCTTCCCCCCTGGCTCCCCTTGACTCAGCCATGGCCCCCATGTCCCCCCTCCACTCTACCATACCTCCGTTCCTCTCCCCCCATAGCCCTCCTCATCTCAGCCATGGCCTACATCCCCCCCCCCCTCCACTCTGCCATCCTTCTCCCCCATAGCCCCCCTCCACTTCCATCCTGGGCCGCTCCTGCTTCCCACCCCCCCTACCTTCATGCCCCCAGGGACCTCCACTTAAACCCCCCCCCCCTGCGATCCCTGCCCCACAACACCCCATTCCCCTCCTCTGGGAACCTC